ATAATAAATCAATAATCAAATTTCAAATGCGCAGGTATTTGTGAAACTAACAGCCTGAGGCAGCCTTTAGACAAAACAAGCAAAGAAGTAACTTAAATACTTATACATACCTTAGTTTCGCCACACAGGTTTACACCAATGATATAAAAGAAGAAGATATGCTTCAAACCTGTCACAAAAATCGAAATGACAAAGCTATTATACAAGCCATATGCGAATGTTATACGACACTTCAAAATCACAATAGATCAAAATTCAAACTCCAAACGCGCAGGTATTTGTAAAAGACTAAAAGCCTGGCAACGTTTGGATAAAACAAGCAAAGAAATAACTTAAATACTTACATATATACTTTATTTAATTCATACAAGATTCCAATTTCCAAAGAACTATATGAAGAAGAAATACGAGGTTCACCAAGTCGTTTTTGGTGAAACAGTGGTATGTCACGCGAGCGCGCATTGCATTGTGGTAGAGTCGCAATGCATGTTTGTTGAAATATGTATTGAGGTTTAGCGCAGCTATACAAAAGTAGCTTTCTGCCTTGCTCGCTCGCTTAATGTTAGCTTAATGTTCGCTCGCAGCCGCAGCAATAATGTTTCATCCTAATTACAATTTGTATACGCAAATACATTGCTCGACAACAATTACCACTTATTTACTGCGAGCGAAATATCTATTCATAAAATAATTTCAAATGGATAAACAGTCCAAAGGTGGCACGTCCAGGTGCGCCTCACGAGATTAAAGTTGTTATTTCTCATAGGATAACACGTTATCTTACTAAGCAGGGGGTATCCCGGGCGACATGAAAATTTCGTCACTCTCATGTGATTTGCTCTCGACCAATGAAACACTACGAACACCAAACTTTGACACGTGGTATATAGTAATGCGGTATATATTTGCGCCTCGCGTTTTAAATATGATAAAACACTCCTTCTCGTGTTCTTTAGTTGAGATACAGGCACACTGCTACAGGACACAAATTTTATGCCTATATATAGCTCCCCTTTCGCGGGCAAAATATTTTACTACAATAAAGATAATTTCTTTCCAATAGCCAAACATGAATATCCCACAGGATATAGAATATGGCATGCAATAAGTTCAACTGTTGTAACTTATATATCACCAATTTAAAGTATTCACAGAATAAAATTCACTAGTTGAATTTTTGGCAACTTTTTCGCGCATAATTAAGGTTTAAAACATTTCGAAACATTACCCCATTAATTATTATTATTATTAATATTAAATCTTTACATTTAAAATCTAGCCACAACAGACGTGTGATCTTACAATTCAAACTAACATATACTAACATATACAAGAATGGAATAGAATTATTAATGTACAATATCTAATATGACTAAATTTTTTAAAAGTCAATCCTTTAAGTTTTACTATTAAGATTATTAAAATTTAAGATTATTAATTTATTTAAAATTGTTAAAAAGACATCTATTTAAAAAAGACCTTTTAAATCTTTCTGTTTCGACTTTAAGTAAAATAAAATCATGTTCTCGCTTCCTTAAACGCTTTTTCCTTTTAGGTGGAAGTAGTTTTTATAAAGGGTGGTTCAGGCTACTACATATTTTACCAAATAGAATTTTGTCTTTGATCAATCCGTTCTCGATATTTCTTCTCAAGGGCGGAACCCCATATTTCAATTCCAAAAGAAAACAGTGACATAATAAGGGCGTCGAAGAGAGTTTTTAACTGTTTTTTTGAGTAACCATATGATCCGCACATCCTCAAAATGTACATTCGACTACTAGCTCTAGTTAGCAATTTGTCAACTTGAATGTCCCAACACGACGGATCATTAATCAGGCCCTTGTCCATGTTTAACAGACATTGATTTGTACAACTTTAACAGACATTGATTTGTACAGTTTCTGCAGAATGGTTTGGCCGGAAACCTGATTGTTGCTTACAAAGAATTTCGTTTTTGCTAACTTAGCTGATCGTAAATAACTTTTTCCAAGATTTTTGCAGTGGCGGGAATAACGGAAAAAGGTCAGCGTTTCCGCATTCAGTTTTGTCTCCTTCCTTGTAAATTGGTGTTCCTTCGCATACTTCAGGTCGTCTGCATGGAAAGACCCCAGTAGCTAATAGAAGATTAAAAATGTGTAGCAGAGAGTCATGTATGACTTCTCCTGCTAGTTTGATAAGTCTATTTGGAATTCTGTCGAAACCTGGCTTACAATGACATAGCTACAATAACATAGCTATACACTGTTTACCAGCGTTCATATAAAATATTAAATCATTATCCTGATTAGCATGTACCGTACAGGCGGAATCATCTATATCATTTATATTCCTAAGGCCTGGATTTCCGTCCATGTCATTTAACAGTCTTAGTCAGTAGCATAATCAGTAGTGTTTTTTCATCTTGGCAAAACAATTTTTCAACAACAAATTTTTTATACAAGCCATATGCGAATGTTATACGACACTTCAAAATCACAATAGATCAAAATTCAAACTCCAAACGCGCAGGTATTTGTAAAAGACTAAAAGCCTGGCAACGTTTGGATAAAACAAGCAAAGAAATAACTTAAATACTTACATATATACTTTATTTAATTCACACAAGATTCCAATTTCCAAAGAACGGTATGAAGAGGAAATACGAGGTTCACCAAGTCGTTTTTGGTGAAACAGTGGTATGTCACGCGAGCGCGCATTGCATTGTGGTAGATCCGCAATGCATGTTTGTTGAAATATGTAATGAGGTTTTGAACAGCTATACAAAAGTAGCTTTCTGCCTTGCTCGCTCGCTTAATGTTCGCTCGCTGCCGCAGCAATAATGTTTCATCCTAATTAGCATTTGTATACGCAAATATATTGCTCGACAACAATTAGCACTTATTTAGCTACTGCGAGCGAAATATCTATTCATAAAATAATTTCAAATGGATAAACAGTCCAAAGGTGGCACGTCCAGGTGCGCCCCACGTGATTAAAGTTGTTATTTCTTAAAGGATAACACGTTATTTTACTAAGCAGGGGGTATCCCGGGCGTCATCAAAATTTCGTCACTCTCATGTGATTGACTCTCGACCGATGAAACGCTACGAACACCAAACTTTGACACGTGGTATATAATAATGCGATATATATTTGCGCCTCGCGGGCAAAATATTTTACTACAATAAAGATAATTTCTTTCCAATAGCCAAACATGAATATCCCACAGGATATAGAATATGGCATACAATAAGTTCAACTGTTGTAACGTATTACCAATTTCTTTAAATTGGTAATAAGTTACAACAGTTGAACTTATTGTATGCCATATACACAGAATAAAATTCACTAGTTAAATTTTTGGCAGTGTGCAACTTTTTCGCGCATAATTAAGGTTTGAAACATTTCGAAACATTACCCCATTAATTATTATTATTATTATTAAGTCTTTACATTTAAAATCTAGCCACAACAGACGTGCGACCTTATTAATGTACAATATCTAATATGACTAAAGTTCAATCCGTTCTCGATATTTCTTCTCAAGGGCGGAACCCCATATTTCAATTCCAAAAGAAAACAGTGACATAATAAGGGCGTCGAAGAGAGTTTTTAACTGTTTTTTTGAGTAACCATATGATCCGCACATCCTCAAAATGTACATTCGACTACTAGCTCTAGTTAGCAATTTGTCAACTTGAATGTCCCAACACGACGGATCATTAATCAGGCCCTTGTCCATGTTTAACAGACATTGATTTGTACAACTTTAACAGACATTGATTTGTACAGTTTCTGCAGAATGGTTTGGCCGGAAACCTGATTGTTGCTTACAAAGAATTTCGTTTTTGCTAACTTAGCTGATCGTAAATAACTTTTTCCAAGATTTTTGCAGTGGCGGGAATAACGGAAAAAGGTCGGCGGTTTCCGCATTCAGTTTTGTCTCCTTCCTTGTAAATTGGTGTTCCTTCGCATACTTCAGGTCGTCTGCATGGAAAGACCCCAGTAGCTAATAGAAGATTAAAAATGTGTAGCAGAGAGTCATGTATGACTTCTCCTGCTAGTTTGATAAGTCTATTTGGAATTCTGTCGAAACCTGGCTTACAATGACATAGCTACAATAACATAGCTATATATACACTGTTTACCAGCATTCATATAAAATATTAAATCATTATCCTGATTAGCATGTACCGTACAGGCGGAATCATCTATATCATTTATATTCCTAACGCCTGGATTTCCGTCCATGTCACTTAACAGTCTTAGTCAGTAGCATAATCAGTAGTGTTTTTTCATCTTGGCAAAACAATTTTTCAACAACAAAATTTTTCCAGAAGTAGTGTCCAACGTACCGTTCGTGATCTTTCGTATATCCGACGATTACCTAAGATGGCATGACACACATCCTGAAAGTTTTTCAACTATAACAGTGGTTAGCCGCAAGAAGTTCCAAAAACGCACACAACCAGCACAAGGGAACCACGAAACAAACAGACAAGTTTGAGAATAAGATAATCAACATGCTCCAGGACAACGATTATCGAAATTTCTATCGTATTTTGTGTCCTTTTTTACGTGCGAGACAATATTTTTTTTGCAAGAAAAAAGCCGGTATACTTGTAATTAAATCGTAATGATTATTGTGAAAAAACATCTGAAATTGGTTCACTTCCTCCAAACCACCCAACTCTAGCGAAACATCGGCCTTTTCGTGCAACTCATATGCCAATTGTGCTTGGAACGGTCTGTCAGAATTTCGTATTGGTCGATCTCTACAATCGTTTTCATGTTTTGCAATCGAAACAATCAAAGCTCGAGCTAATTAGATTTCATCTTTGGTCTGAATACGAATCACCGATCGCTTTTCGAATTAATTTCAGACCATTTTGTACCCTCGTTTGGATTTTCAACATGAATTAAGTTGACGGTAACTGCATCATTAACTAGGGAGTTTTCAATACGTTACATTTATGAAACTCACAATCAAAAATTGGCTACAAACAATAAATCAACCAGTTTTTAACGTTCATATCTGATATATGTTGAGCTAAAAGAGTCTGAAAATTTGTAACTATAACTTAAAGTAATAAAGTAATATAATGCAGTAACACTGCCGTCGTCTTTCTGATTCTTTTCATCCGACTTTCAAGGTTCGTTGGTTGGGTAGATTGGTCCTGCATTCGGACCCACTTCGGGATTTCCGTTTTCTTCAATTGGCATCTGAACCAAACTGTTGCCATGAATAAGCAGGTCTTTCATTTTTGCTACAGAATCCCCAAACAAGTAGGTTTTTCCATCAAAAACATTTTGCAATAACTTCAACAATCTCCAATATGACTTGCTAAATAATTTTGCCAAAATTTCGACTCGGCTGCCCTCCTTGTACATCGACATCATCGGATTGTTCACGATGGGCCAAATACCATCTTCATCGAAAGGCAGTTTTTTCCCTATGTACGCGAATGTACTTGCTTTCGACCCAAGGCACTCCTATAGAAAGAGCACAGTTTCAAAATACAAATAACATGAAAATATGCACACATGAAATTAAAAATAAAGATGCGACTCTTTAGGATTGTCGCCATCGCTTAAATGTGGCGAAAAAAAAAGTTTTATCGTAAATTATAGAAAATAATAAAATAGAACAATGAGACAATAGAATAAGCCAACCAACCCCATTTTGTGTGCTCAGAATAAAACCCTAATAAAACGGGTTTTTTTATTCCTGTTTTTTTTCTATATTTAATATTGTATCTTTCGAACATTTTAAAACAGGAAAATCTGAATTTCCAGTTTAGTAGACTACCTTAACAAGACGGTCTTTACTTCTATTATGCCTAATAATTGTTTCATCCATCGTACGGGTTAATGAAAGGGTAAAACACATCTACATAAATCTGCCAACCCAACTAAATGTAAATAAATTCCTGTTCTCACCGTGCAAAAATATTCAAAGCAAAGTGATAATAAATTGTTTGTATAGAATACTATAAAAAGTTCCCGAATCATATTGAGACTTTAGAAATATATTGCTACAGCTGTCATTTAAAGTGGAGGTCAAGTCCCTCTCTGTACATCGGTTCTCCTCATAACAACCGAGGGCCTAATTTCTATAAAACTTTTCCCAAATTTTAGATGTTTACCATTTTTCTGCACATACGCTCTAATATACGTTCATTTTGCGAAATATTTTGTATTTTAAAAAATATATAGATGTTCAAAATGTAAACAAACAGTAGCGTAGCCAGCCTGTCGATTTGTCCCGCTATGCTAATATTTTGGTGTTCACTGACTGTGAAAACAATAGATTTCTAAAGACATGAATACTTGACTTGAACTTTAGATTTTGTTATATGTGAATGCCCTGGAATGCCCACAGAGGTAAAATTCCAGAGAGAATGTTTCCGCAGAAACAAACTGATAAAAAATGATGAATGGACGACTTGCGCTTTAGACTAATTTTTGATCGAAGTAACTAGAAGAAAATAAATCATCACAGCTAGAAAGATCTTACTTAAATTAGTGCAAATGCAAAGTTTGGCTGCGAAATGTTGTAAAATACGGAAAATATAGCTACGCGAAGTTGGCAAATTTTGTATACTTTTGTATTACGTGCGGAAATGTGTAACTAATTTAGTTACACATTTCCGCATGCAATACAAAAGTATACAAAAATCAACAACTTTGCATCGCTATATTTTCCGTACTTTACAAAATTTCGCAGCCAAACTTTGCATTTGCACTAATTTAAGTAAGATCTTTCAGAAAATGTCCTTTTTATCGCCGAGGTAAGAAATTAGTCTAAAGCGCAAGTCGTCCATTGATCTAAACACGTACATGATCAGGATCGGTGGTTTCAACCTAGAAAAAAAGAGAGAACATTTTTGTTTATAAAGTTATATGTTGGGCTTCCATATTTATTAGAGCTAATTCCCCCCCTGCCAATTCTCCAGCTATGCGCTATTGCTATATAGGTGCTGTGAACACCGCGGAAAAACGTCTGCGCACGCGTCAATTCTGCCTGTAAGTGAGATTAAAATTAATTAAAAAGCGGTTCCGAACGTTTCCGAAGGCTAAAAATGGCGGCAAAAAGGAGTGATTTCATTTGTGTCTTCAAATCCATATTTCGAGGGCATAAATAAACATTGCATGATAGAAACTAAGAGAAAAAACGTCCAGAGAGTCCTAGAAGTGGCATCCTACAAAAACACCTGTAAAAGGTTACTGTTAACAAATTTTTCGTCTCAAACATTTTGTTTATCAAATAAGCAACGACAGTTTCCGAACTTTTAATTGAGACACGTTTTATTAAAAAAAAACATGTCGCCAGATACAAGACGTTTGCGTGTTCTCAATGATTGAAAATTAAGATGTATTTTACAATTTAAATATATTAGAAAGCTTAACTTTCCGCGGGTTTTCTTAACTTTTAGGTTTAAACTTTTGTTTTCGAAAAATATTCTAAAGCCACCCCTTAAAAAAAGGCTAGAAGGCTTTTAATTTATGTTCTGTCTGGCGGTCTTGTATATTTTTGCCTTTTCTTAACTTATATTTTATCAAAAAATGGGCATGTTTTGTTCCAAAAGTTGATATTTAGATTTACCATCATATTTTGATATTTCGGCGCGTGCGCAGACATTTTTCCGCGGTGTTGGTGCTGTGTATTTTAAATGTGATTGGTTCATTCGTAGTCACATGACTTTAAATAAATGCAATGTTTCCCGCCAGATAAACAAGTGAAAAATTGCTGCGCGTTTCTTGTCATAACAAAGTAAAGTGGTTTTTTTTAAATGAGATTGTTTTGTAAAATGCATGCTTTTGTTCCTATATAACAAAACACCTAATGTTCGCTACACCTCGGGAAATAGTGAGTTTTATAATAACGCCCACCTTAGCTAGATACTATATTGTTCTAGTGACTCTCGTTTAAGTTGTTTCTCAATGGTAGAGTTGTAAAGGCAGATTACTAAACTTCGTACAAGTTTTTTTCACATATGATTAACTCCTTTTTTTTCTGGCTTCACTGATGAAAATCAAGCGAGAATGAAATGAGTTTTTAAACTAACCTTGCTATCTTTTTGGATCGTTTTTATATGACGTTTGTTCGCCATTGATGCAAACTTGTAGTAATGTGATAAATCGGTGTTCTGGTCCAGCGGATTGCAAGGCGAAGATCCCTCGCCCTCTTTAACGATGTTCTTTATTGCCTGCACAGCCGTCCCAAAATCATAAACTTTCATCACTTTCTTTCCACTTTTCCCACCAACTTCAAGCTGATTCTTTTTACCATCGAATTTTAATAGTCCAGCACACTGAAGCTTTGCCATCACGATAAGAATTGTGGTATACAAATCACCAATTGTGTTATGATTCGTTAGAATATTTTCACTCTTCATAACAACGTCATTGTACAATGTTAAAACATCAGCGCACGCCGGGTCTTCAGAGTAAGTAGATTTGGCATTGGTAGGATTGTATAAAGTATTTTTAGTTATTTCGTCAATAGCATTAATCAGTCCATTTTCTTCGAGTTCCTTAGACGGCGTTTCAAGAACCATGTACACGTTACGAATTTGAAGCATCGACATCTTGTTGACGGTGATTTTAACTTCAGGATGAACTCCACCTGGCAGGTAGCTGGGATATGACGGGACAAAATGTTCAGCAAACAAATTAGGATTTCCATCAATTGCATTCAAAATGTTAGACACTTGGGCCAAGTGATGCATTTCGTCGATTAAAATGTCTTTCAGCATGCTTTTTACCTCAGTATTATAACCCTTCTTTATTGAAAGATAACCAGTCAGGTATGGCGGAATTGTCGAATGTTCCAACTGAAGTGCCGTCTGTAAAAGGTGTTTCAGGGTGAACATGTCAATTCCAAGATTTGAATATCCATATCTGGGAGTGTCATCTTGTAGCCACTTTAAAATCATCTGAACTTTACCCGGAGACAAATCTCTTGTGACGGGCATATAACGTGGATCTTCCACGTCGAGCGACATGATCTTTGTGAGTGGGTATTTGTTTTTAACAACTTCAAAATAATTTGAAAGGTCCAGGAAGTTTATTTTCATCACAGGATACAAAGTCGCATATTGTTTGAAAATTGGTTTTACATGCCTGATCCAGTTGGGCTGAGTTGGAACCTCAAACTTGTCCCAGACAAGTATGACAATTGCTGAGTTAACATCATCATCGGCGGGTGGCTCTCTCCCGGATAAGTAGTATTTGAAGAAAGAGACGTCTCCATTGATGAAAAGTCTAGCGTTGTCTGGGTCTTTTGTGGTCGTTTTGAATTCAAAAATACCATGTCCCTTTTTGGTGATCGATCCAGAGGGGGAAACACTTACATTAAAGGAATCATCTTCGGAAGGTGGCTTTCCATAAATAGTCAAAAACAGGCGAACATTCACATCCTCTTCTGGCACAGCGCGGTGAACCCAACGTGTGAGGGGGTGGATTTCGACACCTTGTCTGTCTTCGGCCAAAACAACTTGTGTACACATTCCGTTTTCATCTACCTGTCAATGAAACCGAACAAAAAATTGCATCAAACAAGTACTGAAAACCACATAAAAACAACGCAGGGTTTGTTACAAGCGCACTGTATCTGAGTAAGTATAGAAACTTTAGTCTTCTTTTCGGCTTGTTCCAAATGTGACAGTGAGGTTATAATTTATTAAAAATCCAAAAATTAAGGAAAATGAAGAACATACGTATATTTATGGAAAATGGAGAATGACGAATATACGCACCTGTGCCAAAATAACTCTACGCTTACTTATATCCTGCTCTCCAACATCAATCTGGAATACCCCAGATGTAAGCGTGTACTTTTTCAGGTCATTGAAAGATATACGGCCAAATGGATTCCATACTTTCGGACATTTTATATTGTCGTCCTCATTGTTATCTGTATACGCTATGGCCATGTTTCCAATTGATTTCAATGGAATGCCTTCTTCTGTAATACCTAAACTATTGCCCAAGTCAATCAAAATGGTTTTCTTCTCCTGATCATAAACAAAAGGAGTGTACCAAAAATCTGGTCCAGTTCCAATAATCGGCTTGAGCATACGGCCGAAAGTAACATACGGCGGGGAATCGCGACCTGAAATTCCAATTGAACCAACGATTCTACCATAAGAAAAGTTAGCTGTCGTACTTGAAGAATCGTACATGTCAACGTTAAAACGGATTGATAATTCTTTCTTGTCACTACGTTCTAAATGTTCTTTAAGGTATTTCGTTATCCGCGAGTCTTCGCTTCTATTTCCAAACTGAACGTTTTTAAGAACACTTTGATAGGCAGCTCCATAAACAGCCAAACCATGACCAGCTTTCATTTTTCGCCACATATACCGAAATCCAACTCTTTGAAAATCAGCTTTAAAGAAGTCTCTGACTTGCATTGACCAACCATAAATTGCGGAAGAATCCTGGAAATGTACATCAAGGTCAACCAGCTTCGCACTTCCAGCAAGATTACTATCTGCATTAAGAAAAAACAAAAACATATTTCACACTGTATGAAGTGAGTTCCAAGACCAATGCAACTGAACTACCTGCTATAAAACGAAATTACTGGATCACAACGCCAAAAAGGGGGTGAATTCCAAAGTTTGCCTATTAGAACTTCAGACGTGTTTACCGGAATTTCGCTTCAGGGCGACACAGCGGAAATTGGTAAGACTCGATACTTAGGCTTCAAACTTGCTGAAAAAAATTTATAAATAACGAACAAAGTATGTCTTGCACAAAAGATTTGAAGCTTGCACATGGCAAAAATGAGTCGTCTGAATCAATAACCTTGTGTATATTTCAAGACTCAAAATGGCCATTTCACAGGTACCTGATGTGTATGATGAACAGTCGAAAGATTGCAGAATGCGTATTCAGAAGAATTAAAAATTGAACTTTTAAAAATTATTCAACAGTTTTCTTTTTGATAGCGATACTGAAACGCAAAATTGTGAACAACTGATCAGATTTTCGGGTTGAAACTTCATAAAAACCAATTTCTGCGATGTTCTTCAGGGCATGGTCCAGGGGTGAATAGAACTGGGCAAAAGTTTTTATACCTTCAAGTAAGGTGTTAATCAGCGCGTCATCGCTTACGAAGGAAGTGCAAGCTTCATTTGCGTAACAAACTCTTGTAATTCGCGTCTCCCTTAAACGCCATGCGGAGCTCCCGGTTGGATTCCATCCCACGCTTGTTTTGGGAAAGCTTTCCGTATCAAAATTATCAGGATAATTGTTTATAGTCGACTGATCAGCTTGAAATCTTCCAGCAAAATGAATACGGGGAAAGTGAATATAAGATTGATGCTCTGTGAAAAAACAAAAATGTTACAATCTACAGCACGTTCCGTACACGATGTTAATATTTTAATGATTCGAAGGAAATGATGCATGAAGTTATATTTAATCAGTTATTTTATCAAACACCTTCCGACATTAGTTTTTTTTCACATCCTATTCAACGTCTCATTTTTTTGCTTTTGGTTACATTAAACGTCACAGTATCTCAAATTGAATACACTATTCTGCTTGGTCCTGGGTTTGTTAAGCAAAGAGATTTTGCAAGTCCAATGAGTCAAGAATTTCAAAAAAGTGATGCTATATTTATGTTATAGTTCCAATTGTGATTTGTAACAAACAATATTTAGCTACCTCGTTCGTCACAGAAAGCACCTTTAAAACCTGGAGCACAATCACACTGTTTTTCTTCACATCTTCCACCATTTCTACAATCACTGTCGTCATTACAGTCTGTAGCTACAAAAAAAATAGGGACAGCTCCAAATGCTCTCTAAACGTGGCTAAATCTATATCCTGGCGTCAGCAGGTCATATGTTAAAAGCTACGAATTGATTGTATATGAATTCTATTTTTAAGGTTGAAAAATTCACCCAGTTAAAGAGTTTAAGCTCCAACGGGTCTATATTTTTACAGGCCTCATTTAAAACTGCATGGTTGGCTTTTCTTGCACCGGTTTAGTTGAAAGCAAGAAAAAGTCCGAGTTTCTTGATCTTAATTTCACTATCAATAATATTGATGTGCGGATTTGTGTTCAACAGTGTAGAACATCTTTAATTCCGCAGTCCTCAAGTTTAATTTGCCTATTAGCAGCGTGCGGGGACCAGTTTCCGCTCCAAAAAAGTTTGCCACTAAAAATCGCGGACTGCTTATGTGGTACGTTATTTTGCAAGAGGTTAATAAAAATCTCAGCTATTTTTTTTCTTCCCGTTTATGCAGAGTGATTACGTTCAATCTGATCCTCAAGATATTCAAATCTAGACTGCAAACGCTTAGAATAAGTTCCTGTGCGCCTAGTTAAGATATTTGAATACAGTCATTGTTTTTATCACCTTTTATTTTTACCAGTTACCTTTCTCTAAACACTGTTGACCACTATACCTAATGAAGCAATTGCATCCTACTTCTAGACATTGTCCCTCTTCTTTCAACTTCAATTTACAAACTCCATGTTCATTACATTGCTCATTTATTTCTACAAAGCAAAAAAAGCATTTTTATTGAGAAAAGTCACGCGTTGTAAAACTGCAATTTAAATGGCTCAACTTATTGTGTAACCTACTAAACAAAAGATGGCAAATGAACTGGGGTTCTAGGGAATTTCAAAATCCGAGGACTCTACAGTTATTAGCAAATGATTATTAACGGAAAGATAAAGACATAAAACAGGATTTTACTCATTCATAGTCTACGTCACAAAGCAATCACGTGAGATTGCGCGAGCAAGCTCCGGCAAGTTTCAAACATGGCAGACACGCAGGTGAATGACGCAGCGCGGAAGATTCAGCACCAAGCTCAGACGAAGACGTAAAACTGTTGGAAGACGAAGATGAAGAGACATCAAGCGCCTCAAAGATTAACAACACAAGCGACAAACAACCGATGTCCAGTAAAATGTGGAAAGCCATCGAAGGGCTCCAAGAAGAAGTTGAAGTTTTAGCGGGGGAGCGTTCGAGCGACTACACCGTGCAGCTCCTCTCCCCAAAGCTTCACCGATGCAAGGGAAAAGAAACATAGTAAAACAAAACTTGACTGCTCCGCTCCACCAGGGCCTCGGAACAAAAAGCAGCGCACTGGTTCGCCAATTCATGACGGAACTCTGGATGTTCAGACGCAGAACTATCAGCCATGCTTGCGACAAACGGAGACGAAGGAGAAAGCCAAGATGGCGCTTACGCGTACGGCGCCAACGACAAGCTACTGCAAGGGTTCGAAAAAGAGACTCAACAGAGGTGACCCAACGGCTCCAGACGTCGATAAGCTTTTGGCAAATATTGCAAACAAACTAAAGAGAAACTAAAGGATGAGAAGCTCAAACAGAAATTTGAACAGTATGCCCGACCCGTGAACTGTGAGAAAATGAAAGTCCCAATTGTAAACCACGAGTTGTGGGGCAAACTTCGACCACCGTTCCACCTAAGACTGGCAAACATCCAGCAAACTATGACTAAAGCAGCTGTTGCACTTACAGAGGCAAGGGAGCAAATAACCGAATTAAAAGGTTTATTAGAAGGTAAAAATGAGATAATACCTGCCCTTACAGATCCGAACTTTCTTGTTTATCATGCTTATTGCGCAATCAAAAACAGGCCACTGTGTCTTACCGTGGCAAAAGCTTGCCCTGTGATTGGTTTGCTACACTGCACCGTGTCCAAACGTTACTATATTTAGTAACAACTGCGCAATAATCTGCACGCTGACCGTGTCAACTAGGTGCTGTGATCGCAGCTTCTGAATGCACAACTAGCTTCCGAACATACTCGGGACAATTCGGCAAGCGTTCGGAAACTGAACAATCATACTATGAAACAAGGAATAATATTTGGGAATTTGCTCCCACTTTTAGCAAGAATTGGTAATAATATGGCAACGATTACGAAAGATATTACTCAAATTATTTGCTTTAGACATATATTTCCTTAGTTTTGGTGTGATTCAAAGAATTAATATGTAATTCTAAATAATGTGTGAATATTAGATTGCATTTCGTATCCAAAAAGATGAAGCTAAAAAATTCTAGATGGGAAAATCTGACCGTGGTCGATACGATCCAGATCCACGCCTGAAAATATATTCTCTAAAACTCTATATGCAAAAAAGGGATGGAAAGCTTTACTCGGTAGAAAAATTCTACTTACTTGTATCACATGTACGCCCGGTATACCCTGATTTGCATTTGCATTTGTACTTGAATTGACCAGTACGTACAGGCAGACATATACCGTTGTTCTTACATGGCGTATCATTGCACGTTTCTATAGATGAAAAATAAGACATTGTGTTCTATGCTATCAACAAGACAGTAGAGTTTATGGTGAAACAGCCGTGGATATGGGGATTAAAGGGCAGGATTTCCTCTCCCGAAAAATAGTACTGCGGGGGGTGGGAGGTAGCGGGGGTATAGCAACTTTAGCAATTAGAACTTTTTTCAGAAATATACCCTAATCACTTCCACTGATCAGGGACCGGTTGTTCAAAGGCCTTTAGCTTAAACGGTGGATAAGCAAAAGTTTACAAAATAATACTCTCACACATCTTGGGTATGACTGAATCCTATAAATTTTGCATTAAACACGAATTTTCAGTTTCATTAAAAATTATTTACGTAGAAATATTTTAGTCCAGTTGTTTAATAAATAGATAATTATTTTTTTTTCCATTTTGAACTTATTGTCGCTTTAAGCTGAATGCCTTTTGAACAACCGGCCAAACGCATCATAGTACTAAAAAAAATCAATCAAGGCTACTGATCAAATTCAACCCACGAATCTGTCTAGTCCTCTGTGAAAGAATAAAAAATCGGCTAATAATAGAACTGTAATTAAATTTATAATACCTTGTATGGGTCGATATTGTGAGAGAGTCTGAGATGGGGGAGAAATATAAATATTATGTATGCCCTAACTCAGCCGTTTTAATCCAAGATAGACAAAAACAAAACTATTCACCTGGGGCCGGTTGTATCAAGCCCGTTAAGCTTAAACGGTGGATATAAGTTCAAAATAGAAATCAAGTCTATCGTTTTATTCAACAAGCAAACATAATGTTTTTAGCCTTAATACAAAAATACTGTTTAAAACTACATATTCAGTGCATAATATTCAAGTTGACTCTTTCAACAGAGTTGTAAGAGTGTTATTTAATTTTGACTTATCCACCGTTTAAGTTAAACGGGTTTGATACAACCGGTCCCTGCGCTCACAAATTTAAACGTATCAACAAAGAAACTTGTCGGTATTTACCAGTAGGTGCTCCACTGTTTTCACAGAAAGGAATATCCACAGTTCGCCCATCACAGGAAAGCTCTGAAAAAGTAGTATGTGGCATTTGGAACTGTGAGTTGAAGAGACAGAGGTATGACTGTCACAATACAGATACTTGAAATAGATTTGGCTAGCTTTTGTTTTTATTAATAATGGTAATTGTACTGAGTGGAGTGCAATTTGGTGTAAAATCAAACGTGTGATTAGTAATCAAAAGTGTGTGATTTGTAATCAAAAGTTTGATTTCACAGCAGAATTGCACGACACAAAGTGCAATTTCCATTTTATTATATTCATTTTGAAATCATACAAAACTTGGCTTGGAAAGAATTGTAAACGGTGTAAAATGTGAGTAATTTTCATTTCTTTTTGTCAAGAAATTTTGCCGGGCATTTAAAAATTCAAAATAATAAAATTTTGTTCCATTTTTCCCTGTAATTTGATTGGATAGTTACACTGAAATACTAAATCTGATTGGTTATAGTGGTGCAGAGCTTCAATCTGATTGGCTTATAAATGATGTGATTAATGCTCAAAAATATTGCGATTTTGGAATTAATCACACTGTTTTTAACCAATCAAATTGCAATAAACACCATTGATTTCAAAATGAATATAATAAATTCGAAAATTTGTCAGCATATTCCCTGTAGCAACATTTATATATACATACCTATCTCATGACGCTCGCAGCTAACCCCAGAGAAGCCAATTGGGCAAATACATTTGTATCCATTTTTATCTTTTTTTTCGCAAACTCCACCATTTTGGCAAGGAGCTTTGTAACATGGCGAGTCTAAGAACGACATGCGTATTCAAATTGCATAAAAGCTAGTAATCACCAATTTCATAGAATTAAACAGAGTTTAACAAATCGAGGTGAAAATGAATAAAAGAAAAAGTAAACTACTTTAAGGTGAAGCAGGGTTGGCTTTGGCTATAATATAACAATAGAGTTGATGTTCTTGGGCATAAATGTGTTTTTGGCCCGACTCCGAACTCATTTTAGCCCGAGCGTAGCGAGGGTTAAAATGTGTTCCGAGGAGGGCCAAAAACACATTTATGCCCAAGAACATCAACTCTATTACTATTATATTAACTTTAAAGGGCAATTTTTATATAAAAAAACTACGCAATGGGGAAACACTTCATTCAATTTGGCGACAATACTTGCAGATTTATTTCAAAATTGTACCGTTATAAGTATATAAAATTCTACTGCAGTAGAAAATAGTTAAACAGTTCAAAATAACAACAATTTTATTCTAGCTTCTCTTAACATTAAGAAATAACTAGAGTCATTTAGCGGAATTAATATTAATAACACAATTGTTAAACTGACAGTTCGCTAAAATTTCCTGCACTGAATGGGTTTCGTTTGAGGACGAAGACAGACTGACATTTAATCCGGTATCGTTGACCGAAGTAATGTGGGCATTTTCTTCACAACCCAGAGATTCGCCTGATGTAAGTGAACGACTGAGGATACCGGAACAAACACGTTTCTGTGAACTTGAGCTATCGTTGATATAAAAATTCAAGCTTTGTTCGTTTCTGTGCTTCGTAATGGCGCAAATTTGTTTGGCATCCACCCCGGCTTGATGCAGACTTGTTATAGTTGAGGCCCGTACACAGTGTGCGGTGTAGACTTGCGAAAGGCCTGCCTTTTTCGATATCTTGGGCATTAATTGAGAAATTGTATTTTTTCCCATTGGCTCGTTCTTGAACCAGCAAATCCCTGACATATCGAAGTTTAGCAGTGGAGTTTGAAAAAGTGCTCCCCAATCCGGATGAAGTTTTGTGAACATAAATTTTAGTGCAGCTATAGGATCTAGTTTTGAACCTGGTATTTCATACATCCTTACATCTGAGTAATCTTGGTCTTTTTGTTTATAGCCGCCTTCGTGGTTCTTGGTCTGCTCTGTGTGCTTAATTATAACATATTCTTTATCTTGGTCGTCCTTGTTAAACTCGAGGGAATCTTTCGTCAGGTCACGCCAACCTTCCCTGCCTCTTCCGCCCAAATAATAACACAGACTAAACCACACAAACTCAACGAGCTTTTCAGGACTTTCACACGAAAAATAAGACTTTAGTTTTTGCATATCTCCACTTTCGATTGGGCTCTTGTGCTTTGGCTTCGGATTTCCTTTCTTGTAATACGACTTGCAAACAGCTTCGAACATTTTGTTCGCTTGCAAAAATTCGGGATATTTTAGTATGTTGATGGGTCTTGAAATGGGGTGGCTTGTAATTTTGCGGTGAATAGCTGCTCGAATACCAGTCAAAGCACTTGGTGTGAGATCCTTTTTGTCCTTTTTGGTTTTTACTTCTGCATAAAATCTCCTCAAAATACCGCTCAATTCAGTAGCGTCTACGACAGCAAGGTCACAAACAATCCGTCTCCTTTGGCACCACTGCTCGAATTTACTAATGGCCCACAACGTTTGTTTTTTCGTATTTTTCGGTACTGAGTCCTCCTCGAGTTTTTGCAGCTCTTCTTCATCCAACTGCGACGATTGGGAACACGCCTCTTCGGTAAATTCTGCCATTTTAAACTATTTTAGTATAACAGTAACACTGACATAAACAAACCGACAAATCGAAAGCATACGAAATGAATTTTTAGCATCAATGTAAAAACAACCCCTACTTCTGATTGGTTGGATACAAAGTTCCCTTTCTTCTGATTGGCTTAGATCAGCGGGCTAAAATATATTTTAGCCCGGCAAATTTATCATTTTAGCCCGTATAATACACCACAATGCCCGTCAAAGTTAATATAATAGACGTTAATCAAGTATCGCTTCGCGTTCATTTTAAAATATATTTTACGATCGAAAATTATGCAAAAATTGAAATAACTCTTGAACAAAATCTCTTGATGATATAGTTTTGCACTGCTTTGCACGAGTTTTCGCAAAACGAAGTTTGCAATTTTGAGACAAGAAGTTCTTATCACAAGGAAAGATTGCTGCCGAAGCTCAGAATTAAAATTCTTTTGTTTCTTTGTAAAATCAGTAAATGTCTCTGAATGGAGAAAGAACCAGAAGTATACAGTTAATTAATAAAACCTAGCTGCCATGATTATAAGGGAAACTTTAGTATGTAGAAATAAATAAAATAATTTATAACAAAATTTAATTGATGCAATATAACAATCATAAACTGATAACGGTACGATAAAACTGACTATAACAAGTTACAAATCTATAATGCCTAAGACTCCATGCATCAATCAATTAAGCTATTAATTAAAAATCTTTCGTGTTAATCAGTAGAGAAACAATATATATAGCCAATTTCATATTTAAAATGCTGAGGTGAATATGAATTATACGAATCAGTGACAATATAACCTGTTTGATTTTTGCAGACATGATGATAATGCAGTAAATTTGGGTATAGAATCTGCATTTTCCGAACACCTTGATTCACTTTGCAATAACTGTAGTTTACTATAACTTTATTTTTGTTTCATGTCCATCGATGCTTTTCTACGAAGTGGTAACAAGGGCTGTATATATCATAGGTCAAACTTGCTCTAATTCACCCCCAACATCAATTGCAGTAGCAGGTAGCATTTTGTGAACAACACATTCACCATAATATTACCTTCTACAAATATTGAGGAAAGATTTCAATGATAAAATACTGTTGATTCATGCAAAAATGTATGATCACCCTCTCATGCTCTACTGACACTATTTGTCGTCTCAACAGACAGCACTGAAGGTACTACAGCTGTGATAACGGTGTCTGTAATTTGTAAATACTCTTTATTCTAAAACATAGTCTAAAATATAGTCTAAAATACAGTCTAAAACTAAGTGTCCGATCAGAGCTTTTACATACACTCTCACATATGACACTATAAAGTCATTATAACTTCATACTACTCACCTCCTGAAGTTTAAACCTCCCGTGTTATAGAAAGAATTAAATCAATAAATTACTAATACAAGTATAAACATCAGTTCTGGATAAAATAATTAAAATTCTTTCACGTATATCACCCGTCAGATACGAGCGATGAGAAAGAGATAAAGACATCGATCCTTACCTGAAATATTCAAAATTTTGCCGATCATGCATGCCAGAAGTATACAACAACAACGTGATTTATATATCCTTTCTTCTTCACAAACATTACTTGGAATTTCGCATTATTACTTTTCACTTCATGCCCGTTTATAAAAGTTGCCATGTTGCGAAGAAAAAAAATAATATCCTAACTTATAGTTTTGGCCCGTTTTTGAAATACAAAATGACACAAATCGAGATTGTAGCAGTTATAAATTCGGCGGTCACGTGGTAAGAGCTCCACTACCACGATTAGTGCGCTGCGTCGCTACGCTCGGAAGCAAAAAGTTTTCTTTTTTACGATCATAGCTGTTGATGCAAATTGCAAATTGCACATACACGAAAACACTCAAAAAGGCCTTTATGCATGTTGAAGGTTCGAATTTTATATATGAAATAGTATATGAAATAATTTTATATATATAAGTGGCAAGTTATGGTTAAATTTGATGAAAATTAAGGTTTTGGAATGAGATATTAAATCATCAAGCGTGATCAATTCAGGTCCCCAGACCTTTAATGACGCTAAGGTAAGAGCGAATCATCTTCCTCCCTCTTTTCCTCTTTGAAATGTCCAGATAATAACTTACCGTAGCAATGGTATCCATTTCCAAACGAGTCAGGCGGACATTTACATTCGAATTTTTCATCTCCTGTGATTTCCTCGCATATCCCAATACTGCCACATGGATGATCATCGCATGTTATTTCTTCCAAAAAGCACATAAAGTTCGTTTTAAGAACAGTTCATGATGCATCGATAACAAATTATTGTGAAAATATTGGTGACAATTATTAAGTGCAAGAGAGAGGATCAGCAGTTTGACGATACGAAGCATGTAATGTTTTTATTTAACGGTCAAAAGGCTTTAAAAGGCAACTTGGAACGAAAGTAAAGAAAACGTGAAATTACACTCTTAAATATTCAAGCAAAATTCGTAAATATTGGGGTGAATATATTCACGTTCATATATGAACGCTTTACTTAGAGTATTAATTTATATATCGCTACCACAGGAGACATACGGTATCTGAAATTATTTAATACAAATTACCTTTGCAATTACCGCCTTTCAAAATATATCCATCTTCGCACACGCAATCACCGTTTAGGCATATTGCATGAGGGTCATTGCATTCGTCCTTTGTTTTACAAGCTAAAACAGTACGAAGGATTTAGATATCATGGTCTACCGGTCTTTCATTTCCAATAATAATGTTGAAATAAATCCCATAATATTTCCTCTTAGTATTTTTGCACAAGTGAATATAACAAATCCTACATTCTGATCGGTCAAATTTTTCGTATTATGCTGTTATATTTACCTTCAGGGGCCGGTTGTTCGAAAGGCATTTAGCTTAAACGGTGGATAAGTTAAAAATAGAAAACCAAATTAACAATTTGGTTTTTTATTAACAATTTAACAACTGAGCTGAAATATTTCGATGTAAATATAGTTTAATTGCATGTCCATGGAAGTACACATTGAATGCATGAGACGCAGGTTCAGTCATTCACAAGATCTATGAGAGTATTTTCAAACTTCGGCTTATCCACCGTTTAAGGTAAACGCCTTTCGAACAACCGGCCCCAGGGGCCGGTTGTATCAAGGCCGTTTAGCTTAAACGGCGGATAAGTCAAAATTAAATAACACTCTTACATCTCTCTTGAATGAGTCAACTTGAATTTTATGCACTGAATATATAGTTGTAAACAGTATCTTTGTATTAGGGTTAAAAACATTTAGTTTGCTTCATGAATAAAACGATAGACTTGCTTTCTATTTTGAACTTAACCAACGTTTAAGGTAAACGGGCTTGATACAACCGGCCCCAGGGGGCGGTTGTTCGAAAGGCGTTTAGCTTAAACGGTGGATAAGTCAAAAATGGAAAATAAAATTATCTATTTATTGAACAACTGAGCTGAAATGTTTCGATGTAAATGGTTTAATTGTCAATGGAAGTACATATTAAATGCATAAGATGCAGGTTCAGTCATTCACAATATCTATGAGAGTATTCTTAAACTTTGGCTTATCCACCGTTTAAGCTAAACGCCTTTCGAACATCCGGCCCCAGGTGAATATAACAAATTTCAAAATGGCGGATATAGCCGTTTTGTGACCGCTTCTTACAAAGAGATAAGCGAACGATAATCACCTCCCTTCGGGGAATAATTGTTAAATATAAACCTAGCCGGGGGACACCATTGAAATACACTTAGCTGCAATTCACAATACTAAGGCTTCAAACCTGGTGAGAAAAACTGGGATTTAAAAACACTCAACCAAATATGTCTTGCACACGGCAAAAACGAATTGAATTAATAACCTTGTGTATACTTTAAGTCTTAAAATGGCCATTTGACAGCTGTCAGATGTGCACGATAAGCTGACAAAAGATTGCAGAATGCGTATTCATTTTAAAATTATTATATAGTATTCTCTTTGATATCGATACAGAATGCACAATTGTGAACCAGTGATCATATTTTCGGGGTAAAACTTCAAAAACACCAATTTCTGCGGTGTTTAGCCGGGGTATTCTGGAAAAGATAAAGGATTTCTTTGCTCGTATATTTTCGCTAAACAAAGATTCAAAATAGAGAAAATAGAACTCCCGTATTCGAGCTTAAAAAGCCTTGAAGGTGGAGGCTATAGACCTTGCGAAACATAGTAAGCGCGCCTTCGCGCAACTGGAAACGAGGCTTATTATGTAAAAAACAATTTTTATATTTTTGGCTGTACAAAGCTATCCGCCGAGTTATCAGTGGCATAGCCAGCCTGACAATTTGGTCATGCTATGCAAATTTGAAGTCGTTATAGAATTATTAATAATATAAATACTAAAATAATATAGATTATTAATAATATAAATACTGAGATAAACTCACCTGTTTTTGCAGTCACAGCATGTCCCCATACTCCAAGACGATCAAGTGCTTTAACGGCAACTGTGTATTCTGTATATGATTTCAAACCAACCAGGAGAGCATTGTTCATTCCCCCACGAACTTCTGTTACTTCATCGAGTGCACAATCATTTGATCCAGACAATTTCAATTCCATATACCCAACAGTATATCCTGAAATGCTATCATCCAGATGGTTCCAGAAAACCTTCAACGTGCTGCTCGTTCGTTCTGTATTATAAATTCCTGGACCGCCTTAATCGAAGTCAAGAAAGAAAGTCTAATGCTTACACATCACAATATTAATGGGCAAAAGGCTATACCAGGTGTTTCGATAAAACGAACTGAAATTCATATATTTCTATGCAGGATAGATTTCATTCGATATTCAATTACTATCATTAAAAATTAATTCGATATTTATACGTGGAATAAAGTCAGCATCGGTTCTGCTCATGTTTTGAATTTCTTTGAAAATAAAGTCTATCTCTAATTCATTTAGAAATATTGTTCGCTTTTATTGACATCGCTTTAATTTAGGGGTCATTTGAGTTTGGCATGCCAGTAAACCACATAATATAATGCTTTAATAGCCAATACCTAAGGCGATATGGCACAAGAGCAACAATATTGCACAGTGGAACACCTTCTTCTCAAAACCTTTTTTACCCAAGAAAGCAGAATTTTGAGGCAACGTAATGCTGACTGTTGGTCGAAGCATGTAACAGCTTGGCACACATCATGTTAGGTTAGCACAAAGAAGAATGAAAAGAAAATTACTAACCTTTGCAATTTATACTCTCACGACTCTCACACGCACAATTGCAGTGAAGACATTTCAACGCGCTCCCGCAATCCGTGTTCGATGCGCAAGCTATGAATAGAAGTATATATTAGAGTAAAAATAGAATAGAAAAATAGTAAGAATACAGTTCGTTTAGATGCGTAGCAGCATTGACCCAGCTTGCAAGTAGAGAACCTTGAATTGAACGATAATCTCGACCGCGGGCTTTATCGCTTAGTATCCACTATTCAGCAAAATATATCGGACAAATTAAAGAGCCTACACGTGCACGTGTCACACTCTCGAAAGTTTTGCATGAAAGTGCGTGAAAAATATAATGTTTTAGCTTTGTCAAAGACTTTCAGTAAATACCCAAATGAAATCATTGAGTTTGTTAAGAAAAACGTACACGTTTTTACAGATAATCTTTTGTTACAAGATTCATTTTCACTCGAAGCAAGACCGATAGTGTACTCGGTACACACGGCTAATTCATACAAATCCGTTTTATTATTGTTGATTTCTTTGAATGACCATTCGGTTTCATCTGCCTTTTTATAACAAACTAAGTAATGCAGGTCATTGTCCACGAATACTGTCATCGTCGTACTGGTTCGTCCAATTTTGGAAATGTTTGGATCCTTCGTGTCACAAGCTAAAAGCAAAGATTATTACCATAAGGCCATTTCTTCGAGTAGGATGAATGGGGCTTTACTTGAAATACTTCAAATAATTCGTCATTTCTTGAAATAATTAGTCATTGCATTGCAAAACAATGAACGCGTGTAATCACGTCTGATATATTGATAAATTTTAATAAATTATTGGATATATGGTATTTAAGGGTATATATCCGACCGGGTTTTACTCATCAGTTCTGCTGATGACAATGCCGGGACGCAGATTAGAAAGTCGCATAAATTACGCATGTTTACTTTAGCTCTTATTTATTCAAAACTATATAGTGAACTAACAATGTGCGAGATAAGAAATTTACATTACGACTGGACATCGTCTTTAAGATATCACGAGTTATCACGGCGAGGTAGATGTAGTGTAACTGTAAAAAAATTAGATTCCGTTTCTCATCTTTATTTTTTAAACATATTTCCTGCTTTCCGCAAAAGGAGTAAAATTTCTGCTGTGGCATACGTCGTTAAACTTGACCATGAAGATTACTAAACTGATGTAAACCTAAATTACTTTTAACACAGGATGTGAGAAAAATTGCAACACAGTTAGGAATTTCCGAAGAAATCTGCTTTGTTCTTATGCAAAAAATCATTTAGATTCTTTGGCATTTTAAACAGCTTATAATTGTATATTCATGCAGTATTACTATATATTATATTCATGAGTGACAATACACATGAATTGGAACACCTGTATAACTCGGCAAACTTTTGCTAAAACGCTTCTAAAGAATTATTAAAAACCGCCGAGAATAAGATAATGTTCACCTGAAGAACTACCAGCATCTTTAGTATAAATCTGATTAGCCCCTCCTTTTCTTTCAGAAGTACATTCTATACATAAATATATAGTTCAGTTTAGTAAAGAAGCGTGTTAAAGTGGCGAACACCTAAATTTAGAATGGATGGCTTCCGCGCTATAGGACATTTTCGGAAAAGGCATACTGAAATTGGAATTTTTTTATTTGGAATTCGTTTCTTTTTCTGTCTACTTACCCTGTGGCTTGATTCCTGTCACTGCCTGACATACGATCCAGACCAAGACTACAGTTGCTTTCATTATCAGTGATCTATCTAAAGATGCAATCACTTAGTTTTTTAATTTTTAAATTCCGCGACATTTTCCACTTGGGATTGATTCTATTCAGGCTGCAATTCAAAACTATTATAGCCCAGCGTTAACAGTATTCTTTCGGCAGCACATATATACAATGCTATTCTACACATCGAAATAAAGGCCTCCACAGACAGCTAGCTAGACCGCTTAATTGAGGGGTGTGTATATTCATATATTCATGTTTATCTACCGCAGGAACAATAGCCACACAAAAGAAATTAGTCGGGCATAAGATCACATTATGAATATACACCCCCCCTCCCCCCCCCCAATTAAGCTTCTAGCTACAACCATTGAACTGTAAACAAACTGGAATGATAACCCAGGGAGGAAAATTGAAGCCAGTGCTTTTAACTTTTTCTGAGTTTTGAGCCGAAATACTTAACGCCTAATGTTGAGCCGTATATGAAATTAAAGCTATTAAACAGTTATATTTCGTGTAGAAATTTCGAGACTTGAGCTTAAAGGGAAATATCTAAAAAATATTTTAAAATTTTCCGGTTTTTTGCCGATTTGTAATTGTTTTTGTTTTTTTTAAATATATTTCCTTTGCAGTTTAAGTCTTGAAATTTCCACACCAAATGTAACTTCTCAATAGCTTTAATTTGACACACAGCCCAACGTCTGGCGTCAAGTATTTCGTCTCAAAACTCAAAAAAACTATTTTGGCTTCAAGCTATAAATAGGGATGTTTGTCAGGAGTTATCGTTCCAGTTGTATAGAGTTCACTGGCTACAGCCCTGTCCATAGACTAAGAATTTAGTTGTCTACAACTATTTGTGATCGGATAAATGATACAACACATTGACGCTCAAATACTGATTTAGTAACCGAAATAGCGCGGAGATTAAAAGTATAGTCGACAAATAAAACAAAAATTTTCACAGACTATAGAAAAACGCCAAAAAATGAGGCCGTCGACAACTACGCAGTTTCCCTTTTCGAAAAGGCTCTAAGATTACTAAAAAAGGTTATTTATGTAGGTTAGATGATGATCTTTTGCATTCGAGTTAGCGAATTTGAACGTCGAGGTACACGGTAAACGCTTTCACGTAATGACTGTGAACCAGGATATGTGTTCATGAATTTACAAAGAAATGATTCTTTCTACTGGGGGCTTTCCGTTTCAGACTGAATTTTTAACGATCGAAAGATATTCCTCGCTTGATTTCCTTTTGAATAGTGATCGGTTAAGGGAATCCGCTACGGTTGAATTCTTACAATTTCCAAAGAAGATAAGCTGAAAATTTTGTTTGATCAAAAAATTCGGGCTGGCCATGGTGGAAAAGCCAAAAAGCTGGTTTATATACCAACGCGGTTTTTATATACGCACGTACACGAACAGAAACTTAAAATGCTTTTAAATTTTTATCATTTAACATATAGATCAACAAGTGCATAGGAAAATAGGCAGCCACCAAAGCCACCAAATTCTTTCAATTTTACTACGTACGTACGTGCGTATGAAAAACTTTAGCGCCTGTTTATATGATCCCGTCTAGCCGGGACGGGATGTTTTCATCCGGCTTAGCCGGGAAACTCGCCTAGGCGGGATGGCGTGTTTATATGGAGTTCATTTTGTAGTGCAGGTTCCTTCGACGGCATGTTTTATTGTAGAAAACGAATATGCCAATATATACACATGCTCCTAATGTATGTTAATCGCGAATCATCCCGGCCAAGCGGGATGGAGTGTTTATATTGCAATTTCTCGTCCCGTCTAAGCGGGATCCCGGCAAGACGTGCCGGGATCCCGCCTAGGCGGGATGGAAAAGTGGTCATATAAACACTAATTAGTGTTTGTATTACAAGCGGGATCTCGGAAACTGTCCCGTCCCGGCTAGGCGGGATCATATAAACAGGCCCTTAGTACGTGCGTAAAAAAGGCTTTAGTACGTGCGTATAAAAAGCTTTAATACGTGCGTATAAAAAGCTTTAGTACGTGCGTATAAAAAGCTTTAGTACGTGCGTAAAAAGCTTTAATACGTGCGTATAAAAAGCTTTAGTACGTGCGTATAAAAAGCTTTATTACGTGCGTATAAAAAGCTTTAATACGTGCGTATAAAAAGCTTTAGTACGTGTGTATAAAAAGCTTTAATACGTGCGTATAAAAAGCTTTAGTACGTGCGTATAAAAAGCTTTAGTACGTGCGTATAAAAAGCTTTAATACGTGCGTATAAAAAGCTTTAGTACGTGCGTATATAAAAAGCTTTAATACGTGCGTATAAAAAGCTTTAGTACATGCGTATAAAAAGCTTTAATACGTGCGTATAAAAAGCTTTAGTACGTGTGTAAGTAGTATACAGAAGGGGGGTTCTGGAGCAGGCGGTGCAGGCGGTGCACGATGCACCGCCGATGACGTCGTCGAATCTTAAATATTTTAATTTATTCAGGTAATTTTAATATAGTTGAGCACTTGAGCTTTGCCGGTTTGTTACTCAGCAATTTCGGTTTATTTTCATGCGATTTCGCTACCGTTTATTTATCTACATCGTTCGGTAGTGTCTGGGTACTTCATTACCGTTAGCTGTGTACAATTTTAGTTTATTTCACACAGTATATTGCTGATATGGTTACCGTTCATATATCTGTAGAGATTTTAAATTGCTGTCGTCTTTGTTTACAAAAGGTAATTTGTGAGCGCCACGGTGTGCGCTACTCCCACGCTATCTACAATCCATAGTATTTTATATTATGAGTGAAAATGCAAATTGTACCATAGAACAGACAAGAACGAACACGTTCGAGCACGTTCAATAAATAGTTGTTAGTGCGCATGCGTGATACCTATTTCATTAAATCTTCTCCCACAATCAAACGGTGAAGGTTTTGTGGATATATACGGCGGTTTGATCGAAAACTTCATTCGTCGGTTTCGTCCTGTAAATTCGAACGTCGATTATTTTTGCAACTTGCGAGAAATACTGAAGAGTAAAGACAGTTGACAGAGGAGATTAGGTAAGATGCATTAACTAAAGTTCAATTATTATAAAAAATACTAAGATTTTGTTCAATTATTATGAAAAGCACTAAGAAATCGCTTCTTAGTAGTTGCTGTGCCCTTGTTTGCTACACCTATGAAGAAATATCTGAGGTGTCCCTTGGGAAAGTCATGCAACGAACGGTTTAGTTGTTAATAGTGCAAAGAAGCCGATTCCTAGTAGTTGCTGTGCGCTTGTTGGCTGCACCTATGAAGAAATATCTGAGGTGCCCCTTGGGAAAATCATGCAATGAACGGTCCAGCTGTTAGTTCGAATAAATCGCTTCTAAGTGTTGCTGTACCCTTGTCGCCTGCACCTGTGAAGAAAGAATCTGAAGGGCCCCTTGGGAAAGTCATTCAACGAACTAGCGGTGGCTGTACAAATTTTATTCAGTACTTCTGTCACAATAAGATGCTAAAAGTGTTCTGTTTATATTTAATAGTTTGATAATTATCATCGTGAAGTTGAAATCCAAAGAGTTGCTGTATTGAGGGTAAGTGTTTACAATTTCAACTAGTTTGAGTTGTTTCCGCTAGGGAATGTCTAGCAACGAACTGGTGGTTGTAGTCAGTGAAGTTTATTTAGGGCTGTCTTACGACAAAGCCATTACTTGCGCATGCGTGATGTTTTAATTTTATTCTCCCACAATAAGATGCTAAAGGTTATGTGTTTATATTATGCTACAGGTGTTGACGTGTTGTGTTTATGTATCTATGGCTGCAGTTGCTAAATTGGAGAATTCAATGTTCTATTTGTAGAATGTCTTTTACATGCAAAACCTGCTCCAAGAACTTTACGCAGCTGAGAAGTTTAACTCGTCATGAACGGTCCGTGCATGGAGAGAAGAAGTTTGTCTGTGATCAATGCAGCGCATCCTTTACACGGAAAGATGATTTGAAGCGGCATAAGAAGCGGCACGAAGGAACGATCACACATATCTGCGAAAACTGTAGGAAAGAGTTTCACCGTCGTGATAATTTAGTGGGACATCAAGCTCAATGTCAAGGGAATCCTTTGAAAAGAGGGTGTGACGAAGACCGAGATGAAGACGATAGCAGTCCAGCTCCAAAGAAAATACGAGTTCAAGTTGAAGAAGGTGAGCCAAATAGTCAAGTTGAAGAAAACCCTTGCAGTTCCACTTCGGCGTTTGACGATTCCTTGAAGAAGATCGAGTTGAAACCGCGGAAAGACCAGAAACAGGACGTGTCCCACTTCTTACGTGGCAAGACCAAACCGATTTTGACCCACCTTTCCAACGAGTTGGTAAAGAAAAGGGGTATCAAATGGTTCATAAGCGTTAAAGTACGGTTCATCAAACCTAAACCCGACGGTGAAGATTTGACTACCGAACCCCACTTCCGTAGTCATTGTATGAAAACAGTAGCCCAACACGAACTCGATAATCAACTAGACGAAGCCAAGCAGAAAATCATCCAGTCATTGGTCATGTTTCAAAAAGAAGGAAGTGGTTGGATATTAGACGAAATCTTTCATCTTGACCTGAGCATCGCTCAGTATTCTCCAGTTAAAGGATCCAGTTATATCCCTCTACCCAGCAAGCTAAAGACTAAGAAAGCTATCATAAACGTGAAGAATTCTGATAACAAATGTTTCATGTGGTCTATCCTCGCCGCTCTACACCCAGTGAAACAGAATGCGGAAAGATTGCATCATTATCAACAGTTTCAAGATGAATTAGATTTGGCTGGTATTGCGTTTCCTGTTACTGTTGACAAGATTGAAAAATTTGAGCGTCAGAACAATATTTCTGTGAACGTGCTTGGCTTTGAGGATGTACTCTTTCCCATCTACATCACAAAGGAACACTTTGATACCCACGTAAACCTATTACTATACTCCCAGGGAACAACTAGACATTACTGCCTCATCAAAGATCTGAATAAATTACTCTACAGCAAAACCGGAAAAAGGCTCGTATGTATTACTGTCGTTACTGTCTTCATGGATTTATCCGAGACGATCTCCTCCAAGAACACGAACCCCATTGCTCTCAACACGGTCCACAACGTATTGAACTCCCGAATGAAGATAATGCTCAACTGTCCTTTAAAGACTACCACAAGCAGTTGAAAGTGCCCTTTGCAATCTACGCCGACTTCGAAAGTCTTACCACCAAAATCAATTCAGTTAAACAAAATCCTGAAAAATCCTTCACTGAAAAATACCAACACCACCAACCTTGTGGATTTTCCTACATTGTTGTATCCGACTATGCGAAGTACTCCAAACCACCCGTTGTGTATCGCGGAGAAGATGCAGTCGACAAATTTTTAAAGTGTTTAGAAGAAGAGCAGAAATATATTCAAGAGAAACTGGATTGGGTCGAACCCATGCGAATTGAGAGAGAAGAAGAGCAAGCGTTTCAAGATGCAGTCCATTGTCATATTTGTGGATATGAATTGGGTTCTGATCGTGTTCGCGACCACTGTCATCTTTCAGGAAAGTACCGTGGGGCTGCACACAACGATTGCAATTTGAACTATAGTTTTACCGGCCGAATTCCTGTTATTCTTCACAATCTACGTGGGTATGATTCTCATCTCATCATGCAAGGACTCGGTAAACTCAAAGAGAAGAAGATCAACTGCATTCCAAACAACACCGAAAAGTACATCTCCTTCTCCATCGATAATTTGGATTATATCGACTCCCTACAATTCATGAATGCATCGTTGGAGAAGTTAGTATCCAATCTAGCAAAGGACGGCGTTGAAAAGTTCCCCATTCTCAAGAAATACATCGACAGCGACAAAATATCCCTTCTGCTAGAAAAGGTGTCTACCCCTACGACTACATGGACTGCATAGAGAGATTTGAAGAACCAATCTTACCACCGAAGGAATCCTTCTACAATGTGTTGAACGACGAACATATTTCAGACGAAGATTACGCACACGCGACGAATGTATTTAACAAGTTTTCCTGTCGGAACATGGGTGATTACCATGATTTGTACTTGACGTCGGACGTTCTTCTCCTTGCGGATGTGTTTGAAAATTTTCGAAGCGTATGCCTCAAAGCCTACAACTTGGATCCCTGCCACTTCTATACAAGTCCTGGTCTAGCCTGGCAAGCGTGTTTGAAAATGACTGAAGTCGAACTCGAGCTGCTGACCGATCCAGACATGTATCTATTCATCGAAGAAGGTCTTCGCGGTGGAATTTCAATGATTAGCAACCGTTATGGTAAAGCTAACAATCCATACATACCCGATTATGACCCAGAAAAAGAGACTTCTTACGTGATGTATCTTGATGCTAACAACCTCTACGGCTGGGCAATGTCACAACCTCTACCCACGGGTGAAATTGACTGGCTAACCGACCAAGAGATCGCAGAACTTGACATCACAGACGTTGCTGACGATGACGAAAAAGGCTACATATTGGAAGTAGACCTTCACTATCCCTCCGATTTACACGATCTTCACAACGATTATCCTCTAGCACCTGAGAAAATGAAGTTGACAAAGATCCACCGCGTTTTAGTATTCCAGCAAAGCACATGGCTAAAGTCTTATATTGATTTTAACACCGGGAAACGAAAGCACGCTGCAAACGACTTCGAGAAAGATTTTTTTAAACTGATGAACAACTCGGTGTTTGGTAAAACCATGGAAAATTTGAGAAGGCGCGTCAACGTCAAACTCGTCAACGACAAGACGAAACTATCAAAACTAATAGCGTCCCCTTCCTTTGACTACTTCCGTATATTCTCAGAAGATGTAGCGGCCGTCAACATGAGAAAGACGAAGCTTTACCTAAACCGTCCCATCTATGTCGGATTCGCCATCCTGGATCTTTCCAAAGTACTCATGTACCAGTTTCATTACGAGTACATGAAACGCAAGTATGACTGCAACGCAAAGTTGCTGTTCACAGACACGGACACCTTTGTTATGAGATCAAGACCGACGACGTTTATGAAGATATGCTGCAAGACATCGATCTCTTTGACACGTCGGAATACGCGCGAGACCATCCATTGTACAGCCTGACGAATAAGAAAGTCCTCGGCAAGATGAAGGATGAAACGCACGGCATACCCATACAAGAGTTTGTTGGTTTGAGACCCAAGATGTACTCCATCCTTTACACAGAAAACGACAAGCAAGTGGAGAAGAAAACTGCCAAAGGGATAAAGAAGTCCGTAACAAAACGAAAGCTCCGACATACTAATTACAAAGAATGCTTGTTTGAGAAGAAACGGACAATGGCTAGCATGAATCAGATTCGAAGTGAACGCCATGAAATCTACTCCATTACACTTAATAAAATAGGTCTTAGTCCTTATGACGACAAACGATATATTTTAAACGATGGAGTGAACACACTTGCTTATGGACATTACAGTGCAAAGTAATAAGAACTGCATATATCAGTACATATATATGCTAGCTATATTCAATTTGGTCACAGCCTATTTAGTGGGTTTGCACAATTCTCTATAACTTTTAAAATTTTTTAGCTTAAGGGTGTATATTGCCCTAACGTGTATTATGTTTATTATGTTTTAAAACACTGAAATGCTTACCCTCTGTAAATATATAATAATTTTTAATATTCACAGATAATCACAGTTTGATAAAGGGTATATAGTGCATGTAGCTAATATATGATAAATTCGTGTAACTATATAATTATGTAACTTGAATTTTTATGAAATATATTCCTTTACAAATTGCATATGACCTGTTGTGTTTTATAGCTAAGTCTTTCAATCTACGTCTACATACAAGGTATTCTGCGAGATAAAAAATTCAATAAACATGCTTTCACACCTTATCCATGGACGATAGTCGATTGCTTCGTTTGTTTGTTTGTTTTTAAAGAATAACGCATGTAAAATACACCAAACTTCATATCACGCCATTTTTTTGTTGTCTGCTTTGACATTACAACGACGTGGTTGCTGTTTCTTTGTAGTCGATCTTTTGGATGGTCTGTCTTGTTTGAGTCGAGTAAGAGGTTTGTCGGGTTGTTCATTCGGTTCTCTAACTTCTTTAGAAGCTCTGATATATTTATTAATGTTTACTTCCATATTTTTTTGTCGTTTTTAACTTTGTGTGTTTTCTAAATAATATTATGACCTGATATAGGTTTTGTAATTTATTGAAAATTGTCTGAAAATATAGCTTTTCAATAACCGCATACTTATTGTGTATTTCTCTCGAACAGCCCCCTTCACACAAACACTCCTAGCTTTTCCGGGACACCAGGGACTAAAAAAGTCCCTGAAGGGACACTTTAAATCTTACAGGGACACCAGGGACTAAAAAAGTCCCTGAAGGGACACTTTAAATTTTCCAGGGACACCAGGGACTAAAAAAATCCCTGAAGGGACACTTTTAGTCCCTGGTGTCCCTGTAAGATTTAAAGTGTCCCTTCAGGGACTTTTTTAGTCCCTGGTGTCCCTGTAAGATTTAAAGTGGCCCTTCAGGGACTTTTTTAGTCCCTGGTGTCCCTGTAAGATTTAAAGTGTCCCTTCAGGGACTTTTTTAGTCCCTGGTGTCCCGGAAAAGCTAGGAGTGTTTGTGTGAAGGGGGCTGTTCGAGAGAAATACACAATAAGTATGCGGTTATTGAAAAGCTATATTTTCAGACAATTTTCAATAAATTACAAAACCTATATCAGGTCATAATATTATTTAGAAAACACACAAAATTAAAAACGACAAGAAAATATGGAAGTGAACATTAATAAATATATCAGAGCTTCTAAAGAAGTTAGAGAACCGAATGAACAACCCGACAAACCTCTTACTCGACTCAAACAAGACAGACCATCCAAAAGATCGACTACAAAGAAACAGCAACCACGTCGTTGTAATGTCAAAGCAGACAACAAAAAAAATGGCGTGATATGAAGTTTGGTGTATTTTACATGCGTTATTCTTTAAAAACAAACAAACAAACGAAGCAATCGACTATCGTCCATGGATAAGGTGTGAAAGCATGTTTATTGAATTTTTTATCTCGCAGAATACCTTGTATGTAGACGTAGATTGAAAGACTTAGCTATAAAACACAACAGGTCATATGCAATTTGTAAAGGAATATATTTCATAAAAATTCAAGTTACATAATTATATAGTTACACGAATTTATCATATATTAGCTACATGCATACTATATACCCTTTATCAAACTGTGATTATCTGTGAATATTAAAAATTATTATATATTTACAGAGGGTAAGCATTTCAGTGTTTTAAAAATAATAAACATAATACACGTTAGGGCAATATACACCCTTAAGCTAAAAAATTTTGTAAAAGTTATAGAGAATTGTGCAAACCCACTAAATAGGCTGTGACCAAATTGAATATAGCTAGCATATATATGTACTGATATATGCAGTTCTTATTACTTTGCACTGTAATGTCCATAAGCAAGTGTGTTCACTCCATCGTTTAAAATATATCGTTTGTCGTCATAAGGACTAAGACCTATTTTATTAAGTGTAATGGAGTAGATTTCATGGCGTTCACTTCGAATCTGATTCATGCTAGCCATTGTCCGTTTCTTCTCAAACAAGCATTCTTTGTAATTAGTATGTCGGAGCTTTCGTTTTGTTACGGACTTCTTTATCCCTTTGGCAGTTTTCTTCTCCACTTGCTTGTCGTTTTCTGTGTAAAGGATGGAGTACATCTTGGGTCTCAAACCAACAAACTCTTGTATGGGTATGCCGTGCGTTTCATCCTTCATCTTGCCGAGGACTTTCTTATTCGTCAGGCTGTACAATGGATGGTCTCGCGCGTATTCCGACGTGTCAAAGAGATCGATGTCTTGCAGCATATCTTCATAAACGTCGTCGGTCTTGATCTCATAACAAAGGCTGTCCGTGTCTGTGAACAGCAACTTTGCGTTGCAGTCATACTTGCGTTTCATGTACTCGTAATGAAACTGGTACATGAGTACTTTGGAAAGATCCAGGATGGCGAATCCGACATAGATGGGACGGTTTAGGTAAAGCTTCGTCTTTCTCATGTTGACGGCCGCTAAATCTTCTGAGAATATACGGAAGTAGTCAAAGGAAGGGGACGCTATTAGTTTTGATAGTTTCGTCTTGTCGTTGACGAGTTTGACGTTGACGCGCCTTCTCAAATTTTCCATGGTTTTACCAAACACCGAGTTGTTCATCAGTTTAAAAAAATCTTTCTCGAAGTCGTTTGCAGCGTGCTTTCGTTTCCCGGTGTTAAAATCAATATAAGACTTTAGCCATGTGCTTTGCTGGAATACTAAAACGCGGTGGATCTTTGTCAACTTCATTTTCTCAGGTGCTAGAGGATAATCGTTGTGAAGATCGTGTAAATCGGAGGGATAGTGAAGGTCTACTTCCAATATGTAGCCTTTTTCGTCATCGTCAGCAACGTCTGTGATGTCAAGTTCTGCGATCTCTTGGTCGGTTAGCCAGTCAATTTCACCCGTGGGTAGAGGTTGTGACATTGCCCAGCCGTAGAGGTTGTTAGCATCAAGATACATCACGTAAGAAGTCTCTTTTTCTGGGTCATAATCGGGTATGTATGGATTGTTAGCTTTACCATAACGGTTGCTAATCATTGAAATTCCACCGCGAAGACCTTCTTCGATGAATAGATACATGTCTGGATCGGTCAGCAGCTCGAGTTCGACTTCAGTCATTTTCAAACACGCTTGCCAGGCTAGACCAGGACTTGTATAGAAGTGGCAGGGATCCAAGTTGTAGGCTTTGAGGCATACGCTTCGAAAATTTTCAAACACATCCGCAAGGAGAAGAACGTCCGACGTCAAGTACAAATCATGGTAATCACCCATGTTCCGACAGGAAAACTTGTTAAATACATTCGTCGCGTGTGCGTAATCTTCGTCTGAAATATGTTCGTCGTTCAACACATTGTAGAAGGATTCCTTCGGTGGTAAGATTGGTTCTTCAAATCTCTCTATGCAGTCCATGTAGTCGTAGGGGTAGACACCTTTTCTTAGCAGAAGGGATATTTTGTCGCTGTCGATGTATTTCTTGAGAATGGGGAACTTTTCAACGCCGTCCTTTGCTAGATTGGATACTAACTTCTCCAACGATGCATTCATGAATTGTAGGGAGTCGATATAATCCAAATTATCGATGGAGAAGGAGATGTACTTTTCGGTGTTGTTTGGAATGCAGTTGATCTTCTTCTCTTTGAGTTTACCGAGTCCTTGCATGATGAGATGAGAATCATACCCACGTAGATTGTGAAGAATAACAGGAATTCGGCCGGTAAAACTATAGTTCAAATTGCAATCGTTGTGTGCAGCCCCACGGTACTTTCCTGAAAGATGACAGTGGTCGCGAACACGATCAGAACCCAATTCATATCCACAAATATGACAATGGACTGCATCTTGAAACGCTTGCTCTTCTTCTCTCTCAATCGCATGGGTTCGACCCAATCCAGTTTCTCTTGAATATATTTCTGCTCTTCTTCTAAACACTTTAAAAATTTGTCGACTGCATCTTCTCCGCGATACACAACGGGTGGTTTGGAGTACTTCGCATAGTCGGATACAACAATGTAGGAAAATCCACAAGGTTGGTGGTGTTGGTATTTTTCAGTGAAGGATTTTTCAGGATTTTGTTTAACTGAATTGATTTTGGTGGTAAGACTTTCGAAGTCGGCGTAGATTGCAAAGGGCACTTTCAACTGCTTGTGGTAGTCTTTAAAGGACAGTTGAGCATTATCTTCATTCGGGAGTTCAATACGTTGTGGACCGTGTTGAGAGCAATGGGGTTCGTGTTCTTGGAGGAGATCGTCTCGGATAAATCCATGAAGACAGTAACGACAGTAATACATACGAGCCTTTTTCCGGTTTTTGCTGTAGAGTAATTTATTCAGATCTTTGATGAGGCAGTAATGTCTAGTTGTTCCCTGGGAGTATAGTAATAGGTTTACGTGGGTATCAAAGTGTTCCTTTGTGATGTAGATGGGAAAGAGTACATCCTCAAAGCCAAGCACGTTCACAGAAATATTGTTCTGACGCTCAAATTTTTCAATCTTGTCAACAGTAACAGGAAACGCAATACCAGCCAAATCTAATTCATCTTGAAACTGTTGATAATGATGCAATCTTTCCGCATTCTGTTTCACTGGGTGTAGAGCGGCGAGGATAGACCACATGAAACATTTGTTATCAGAATTCTTCACGTTTATGATAGCTTTCTTAGTCTTTAGCTTGCTGGGTAGAGGGATATAACTGGATCCTTTAACTGGAGAATACTGAGCGATGCTCAGGTCAAGATGAAAGATTTCGTCTAATATCCAACCACTTCCTTCTTTTTGAAACATGACCAATGACTGGATGATTTTCTGCTTGGCTTCGTCTAGTTGATTATCGAGTTCGTGTTGGGCTACTGTTTTCATACAATGACTACGGAAGTGGGGTTCGGTAGTCAAATCTTCACCGTCGGGTTTAGGTTTGATGAACCGTACTTTAACGCTTATGAACCATTTGATACCCCTTTTCTTTACCAACTCGTTGGAAAGGTGGGTCAAAATCGGTTTGGTCTTGCCACGTAAGAAGTGGGACACGTCCTGTTTCTGGTCTTTCCGCGGTTTCAACTCGATCTTCTTCAAGGAATCGTCAAACGCCGAAGTGGAACTGCAAGGGTTTTCTTCAACTTGACTATTTGGCTCACCTTCTTCAACTTGAACTCGTATTTTCTTTGGAGCTGGACTGCTATCGTCTTCATCTCGGTCTTCGTCACACCCTCTTTTCAAAGGATTCCCTTGACATTGAGCTTGATGTCCCACTAAATTATCACGACGGTGAAACTCTTTCCTACAGTTTTCGCAGATATGTGTGATCGTTCCTTCGTGCCGCTTCTTATGCCGCTTCAAATCATCTTTCCGTGTAAAGGATGCGCTGCATTGATCACAGACAAACTTCTTCTCTCCATGCACGGACCGTTCATGACGAGTTAAACTTCTCAGCTGCGTAAAGTTCTTGGAGCAGGTTTTGCATGTAAAAGACATTCTACAAATAGAACATTGAATTCCCCAATTTAGCAACTGCAGCCATAGATACATAAACACAACACGTCAACACCTGTAGCATAATATAAACACATAACCTTTAGCATCTTATTGTGGGAGAATAAAATTAAAACATCACGCATGCGCAAGTAATGGCTTTGTCGTAAGACAGCCCTAAATAAACTTCACTGACTACAACCACCAGTTCGTTGCTAGACATTCCCTAGCGGAAACAACTCAAACTAGTTGAAATTGTAAACACTTACCCTCAATACAGCAACTCTTTGGATTTCAACTTCACGATGATAATTATCAAACTATTAAATATAAACAGAACACTTTTAGCATCTTATTGTGACAGAAGTACTGAATAAAATTTGTACAGCCACCGCTAGTTCGTTGAATGACTTTCCCAAGGGGCCCTTCAGATTCTTTCTTCACAGGTGCAGGCGACAAGGGTACAGCAACACTTAGAAGCGATTTATTCGAACTAACAGCTGGACCGTTCATTGCATGATTTTCCCAAGGGGCACCTCAGATATTTCTTCATAGGTGCAGCCAACAAGCGCACAGCAACTACTAGGAATCGGCTTCTTTGCACTATTAACAACTAAACCGTTCGTTGCATGACTTTCCCAAGGGACACCTCAGATATTTCTTCATAGGTGTAGCAAACAAGGGCACAGCAACTACTAAGAAGCGATTTCTTAGTGCTTTTCATAATAATTGAACAAAATCTTAGTATTTTTTAATAATTGAACTTTAGTTAATGCATCTTACCTAATCTCCTCTGTCAACTGTCTTTACTCTTCAGTATTTCTCGCAAGTTGCAAAAATAATCGACGTTCGAATTTACAGGACGAAACCGACGAATGAAGTTTTCGATCAAACCGCCGTATATATCCACAAAACCTTCACCGTTTGATTGTGGGAGAAGATTTAATGAAATAGGTATCACGCATGCGCACTAACAACTATTTATTGAACGTGCTCGAACGTGTTCGTTCTTGTCTGTTCTATGGTACAATTTGCATTTTCACTCATAATATAAAATACTATGGATTGTAGATAGCGTGGGAGTAGCGCACACCGTGGCGCTCACAAATTACCTTTTGTAAACAAAGACGACAGCAATTTAAAATCTCTACAGATATATGAACGGTAACCATATCAGCAATATACTGTGTGAAATAAACTAAAATTGTACACAGCTAACGGTAATGAAGTACCCAGACACTACCGAACGATGTAGATAAATAAACGGTAGCGAAATCGCATGAAAATAAACCGAAATTGCTGAGTAACAAACCGGCAAAGCTCAAGTGCTCAACTATATTAAAATTACCTGAATAAATTAAAATATTTAAGATTCGACGACGTCATCGGCGGTGCATCGTGCACCGCCTGCACCGCCTGCTCCAGAACCCCCCTTCTGTATACTACTTGTGTATAAAAAGCTCGTAAGTGGAAAGCAGTTATAACACAAAAAAACATTTCTTAATCCGACTACTGTGGTTAATTTCAGTTAGAAATACAGATGACTACAAATTTAATTTTTAAAAGCTTTCATTACCAGAAATTTGCGACATGATAATTTGCATGTATACTAATTTGCATTTAACTTTCAGTATAATGGCCTGCAACTTTTACTATAAAATACATATAGTAAATAGACAAAACTTAAAAATGCCCTTGCCCTAGACCTTGCCCACTGTTTGCCGACCTCTAGATCGGTAGAGCAGCTGTTTAGAAACGTTTTGGTGACAGGATTTTTTAGCTTGGGCATTTCTGCATTCGGCCAAATTTAAAAATATATTGCTCAAAGTTTTGTCCGTGTGCTGTCCACGAACTTATAAAATCGCTCACATTGATTCGAATATTTCGATTCAGGTAGTTGATGAATTGACGTATAATGTACCCAAAAAAATTGTTTAAGATATTCTCTTTCGTATTTGTGTATAAACTTTTCTATACGGCTCGGATTTTTACTGCAATCACTTTAAAAAATATTATCAGTCTTGTCTGGAACTTGAACAATACGAAGGCTATATACACATTTGTTCACAATCATTTGGCTGAACGTAGAAATACCTAAGGAAAGTAATTCGATCATTAAAACGTTGGGAAACGGCTGTTCTATTGATCCAGAGGTCGGCAAACAGAGGGCAAGATCTAGGTCAACGGCATTTTTAGGTTTTGTATATTTACTATATGTATTTTATAGTGAAAGTTGAAGGCCATTATGCTGAAAGTTAAATGCAAATTAGTATACATGCAAATTATCATGTCGCAAATTTCTGGTAATGTTAGGAATTGAAAGAAAACGCTCAAATTCACGCAGTGATTTTTCGTTAGCAGCTACAAGAACCAAAAAACGAACTTTAATTCATTTTAATTGATCGCCAAAATATAAGAGATCTAGAAAGATCGATAAATCAGAAAGAATCTGCGGTATATGCAAAAAACATTACGCAGTATGAGGTGATGATACACATCACGAGATAGTCTATAGTTGTTATATATACCAGGGGAAAATATCGCAAACACTTTAAAATGCTCTGTAGATAGTCACAAACATGCAGATGCTAAGAAAAGTGTGAACAGGAAACATATTTCACTGGGGCCGTTTGTTCAAAATTTGTTTTATTTGCTTAAACGGCGGATAGGTTCAAAATGGAAGACAAGATTATCTGTTTATTGAGCAACTGAAAACTTGATTTGAACAGCCGATATTTCGATGTAAAAACTTTTATTTCAAATGGAATTACATATTTAATGCATAAAATATAGGTTCAGTCATGAGTTTATAGATTCAGTCATTATTTATATTACATACAAATACGCACTAACATTTTAGAGATAAACATTTTGCTCCGCATGCCCCAGCGAGATAAGATAAGAAAAAACATGCAAACGAAAGATATATGTTTTAAAACGTTCTTTCAGATGGCAGAATGAAGTTTAATTATCGCCCCATAAATGCGGGCAATTTCTCAAAATGCAGCGCCAAAATGCCACTGAATATGAATACAAAATTATAATTACAGGAATTCAAGCCTGAAAGTCTAATTAAAATAGCCGGTGCGACGTTTGTCGACAAGAGAAAAAACAAGGATGACAGCTAGTATTACAATTGTTTTGAAGTGATACTCCATATATACAAACAGTCACGCAATATTTTATGTAAAGGTCCTGCCAAATTTCCTTCCAATTCCGCTGCAGAACAAATGCATTAAGCTTTGCGCAAAGTGAAAGTCATGCAGTGATACTTTGATACGTCCGATGCAAATTCTCATGCAATATGATTTTGGTCATTGCAAGGCATGTTATACGGTGCGAAGACTTGTACAACTTCTCGATATGGCGGATATGTCAGACGAGTTACAATCCATGAACAATTGCATCGTACAACAGGGTCTTAAATCATTTGAGATTATTCTTAGGTAAATACAACATACTCCCTTTTTGACATTGGAATTTATCGCTATCAAAATATCCAATATTTATTTATCAAATATGGCAAATAACTAGTTGCTAGGATTTGCACAAGTATCTGAAAAATAATTTCCTTGATTCAGCTGATCGAGCGGATAATTGTGTACTTCAGCGTATAACAAAGGAAAAATTAAGTTGCTACATTCCACAGAATATACGCGAATATTTAATATTGCAAGTAAACACAAAATTTCGCAATGATATAAACTGACATTTCCTGACCCTGCATCGTATTTCCCAGACACCAGTCATAAAATCTGCTCAGCCTTGCATTGGGTAAATACTATTTATAAATCAATTACAAAAAGTTTAAAGAGTAAGCTGGTATAGCGCTGTTGTTTACATAAGCCCGACTAGCGGTGAAGCGTAAAATTACTTAGTGAAATAAGTAAATAATAATAATATGAGCCAGGCAATCGTCATCCTGTTTGGTTTCAGAAAAACTTCTTTAATACCTCAAAATCATCTCATGCTTCGATCGTTAAATCTGGGGTAACCCGGCTCAGGAAATATCTTTGGAATTTACACGAAAACTACCGCTGTTTCAACGCATTATTGACAATTGATTGTAGGTTTCAAATCCTTGTTTGGATTTATACTTATGGTTATGAAATATGATTCCAATGAGCTCAACTTTAATTGTGTAAATAATGGACGAAATCTAAGACAACTTTAGTGTAGTTTTAGTTTTGGTAAATATATCCTTGAATCATGCTTCACTTATGAGTTTTACGGCGACATATAAAGGCCTAATATACTTATACACCACACTCAGTTCACCTGAGGACCGGACTAAATTGAGAAAACACAAGATTAAATACAAACCTGGATTTTATGACGTCTATAGTATTGCCCACGGGCAGTTATAATTGAGATGCCAGATGTTTCAAGAAAATGTTTTAAGATTGCCGAAAGTTTTGATAACTGAGAAGCTTGTTTAGTTGTTGTTGATAACGAGGCCAAGACAAAAACAATGCGGTGCGGTGTTTCCACATATATTCACAAATTTTCCAGTTTTCATAAATCATACTCAAATTTCCTGTAATCTTGGCTTTGTACGCGCGTGCAATCACGGTCAATGGTGCAATCATGGAGTTGATGCATGCTTGATGGCAAAAGCGGTTTTGAAGGTTAAAAATAATCTCGATCTTTTAAACGGCTCTCGATCTTTTAATCTCGATCTTTTAAAAGGCTCTGTTCTGTTATAAAGAGGGAACAAGAATTCTCGGAGCGTTTTTTTACATAACAAGAACGCCAAAATTCACACAAATATTTCCCCCTGCTTTTTATTTATCTTATAGCCATTTTTAGCTCTAATTGGCCTTTAGTGTAATAGTCCAACTAAGATCTAGGCAACAAGAAGGAATTAAATCACCACAGCTTAAAAGAGCATACAGAAATTAGTATAATTGCCATGCAAGTTTGGCTGCAAAATCTCAAGTATTACCGAAAATATAGCCATGCAAAGTAGCCAATTTAATAATAAAATTGGGCACGGGTACCCATTTTAGCCGTGCCGTGCCGATAAATTGACTGTAGTGTAAACAGGGCTTTTGTGTCTTGTTTTTTAACAGCTCATGTCTTGAGTTTACAAGATGTTTATTTTCGGAGTATTTTTTCTCTTATATTTTATGTAAAGGTCCTGCCAATTTATAAAATGTTCATTTTGGTCATTGCAAGGCATGTTATACGGTGTGAACACTTCAACAACCTCTCAATATCGCGGATATGTCAGACTAGCGAGTTACATGCATGAACAATTGCACCGTACAACTGCAGGATCTTAAATAATTTGAGATTATTCTTATGATATTT